GAGTGAACTCTTCCTGTACTCTTCTAAGTTTGTCAAACAAAAGTCTCCAATATAATTTTGTTTCCTTTACAGATTTCCTTGTATAGTTAGAAATTGACAACTAGAAGATATAAATATCTATTCCAACTGGCTGCTGTACTTCTCACTGTGTATGAATAAATTAATGTTCTGTCTGAAACATTAGTGGAAGTTAAGTTTCGTTGGTGTTTTTCTTTTTGAACCTCTAAAGATGATCAGACTCCTTGTTTTCTGTTTTTCATTGATCACTAGCATGCTAAAATCATGTTAAGAGATCAAAATGGGACTGACTCAGACAATCACAAGAGATTGTGATACAAGGGTTCCAAGACACATATGCTGTGTGATTGATTGCTAAATGAAAATATTGATTTCCATTTATTGTATTTTTTGTTGACACACAATAATGGTCACAGTCATGATTGTCCTACAATGGATTGGGGAAAGGTTGTTAGGCAATGAACTAAGCATAAAATGATATTTTGTTGCTGCCTCAAGTTTGATTCATTTTCTGAGTCTGAGTTTATTACGTAGGCTAAAATGTAGAATCTCAGAGCCAGAGTAACACAATCGAGATTTAAGTCTATCATTTGTTAGTATATAGCCAGTCTTGCTAAGACAGATCAATTTGTAATGCTCTGACAAAACAGAGTTTGTAGTCCTTCGAACATAAAAATTTGAACTGTGCTGACACAGCTAAGGTAATTTTACTTTTAAGCTGCCAACTGAGTGTGAATTTGCTCTCCTTCTGGTATACCTGCACCATCTCTCTCTAATTTCGAGTCAGATAAAATTTTGGATGAAATTGTTTGTTCGTTTTTGACATAGGGTCTCACTCTGTTTCCCAGGCTGTAGTGCAGTGGCACAATCACAGCTCAGTGCAGCCTCAACCTCCTAGGCTCAAACAATCCTCCCACCTCAACCTCCCAAGTACCTGGGACTACAGGGGCATGCTACCACCTCTAGCTAATTTTTGTGTTTTTTAAATAGAGATGAGGTTTCATTACATTGACCATGTTGGTCTTGAACTCATGAGCTCAAGGAATCTGCCTGGCTCAGCCTCCTAAAGTGTTGAGGTTACAGGCTGTTAGCCACCATGACTGGCCTGGATGAAATTATTTGGATCAATAACATAAGGTAGCTAAAAATTTTGCCATTGTTTTTACTTTGTAAAATGTAAAGGACATTAATACTTTCCCTATTTTTACTGACAGCAGGGAGAAGAGAATGTACAAGTATATAACCCATTTATAAATCTCTACAACCAAGGTAAAAAGCCATTTATATTTTTGTATCCTAAATATATTTGAAACATAAGTCCTCTTCATGACTACTACAATAGCCCTTGTCTAGGCCCTAGACACCCTTAATCCAGGACTTATTGAAACAACTGTCACACTACAACCAGTCTAATAAGTTTGTTTCTGACAGTCTTGCTCGGTCACTCAAACTGGAGTGCACTGGTGCAATCTCTGTTCACTACAACTTCTGCCTCCTGGGCTCAAGCAATCCTCCTACCCAGTCTCCTGAGCAGCTGGGACTACAGGCACGCACTACCATGCCCAGCTTATTTTTGTATTTTTAGTAGAGATGGGCTTTTACCATGTTGGCCAGGCTGGTCTCGAACAGCTGACCCCAAGTGATCCACCTGCCTCAGCCTCCCGAAGTACTGAGATTACATGAATGATCCACCGCACCCTTCCAGTCTAATCGTTTGACATCTATCATCCACATAGAATTGGGAATAATCTGTCTAAAATTGCAACATAAACTGGTGCTATTATTGTTTAAAAATCTGGCAATTGTTTCTTATTTGCCCATAGAATCACTGCGAAGATCCATATCACATGTATACCCTGAGCCCTGAAAACAGAGCCCTCCACTGGAGCTCCTATGTTTGAAGAGGTGAGCTGACTGGGAGCCAGGAGTCAGCTCTCCTGACACTGCCATGTATAGGTGTAGAACTCTGGGGATTCTGAGAATCCTAAATTCAGATTGTGTGTCTTTGGTGCTTATAAAGCGGTATTTTGTTATGTCAGGCGATATTTCATATTTGCCACCTTTTGTATTACTTTAAATATTTGGACATGCAGGATATTGAGACTCCTACTCTGAGCCTGAAGATGTTAAACCCATCTAAATTTCCACATTGTCCTGATTCAAGCACCAGAGGTGGTAATAAATAAATAAAAATAAAAAATAAAATTTTACACTATGCCCTTCATGGCTACAGTCCTACTGAATTCTTCAGTTCACCTCCAGTTGCTAACTACTATGAAAGTCGGTCATATAAATTGGATTATTCTTGTCATGTCAACTAAAACAGAGGCAAAAGATGGGGAAGAGAGCATTCAGGGCACAAAACATGGCTCCAAGAATGGAATTCTCTGTAAGCCTGCATGCTGAAACTGGCTGTTGTAACCTAAAGCCAGTTTTACCCAATAGCTACTGAAACAACCTCCTTTGACTCCAAGGGAGTTTAATCATCTGTCACTCACCAATTAGAGCTTGTTAGTACTCCACATTTTACTAGTGCCAATGAACTTTCTCAGAAAATAATATATAACACTCCTTCTTTATATGAAATCTCCAACCCTCTTTTTGTTCTTCAGGCACAAGGAAGGCCACCCAGTCTGTGTGTATATCCTGAAGTGCAATTCTTGTTTCCTCAATCAAATCTTAAATTTAGATATTTGTGTCTACATTTCTATTTTGACTTAAATACTAGCCTTGTCATCTTTATGGTGTATTAATTCTAAACTCTTTTACCATGCTCTAGACACCATGAAATATAACATCTTTATGTTTTTGCTCCCTGCTGTTTTCACTGATTGAAATGTTCTTCACAACTTTTCTGGCTAATCCATTAATCTCTTAATATGCAGCTTTTTAAATCTCTAACAACTTCTCTGGACTTTATTGAACTTATTCAATTTACCCACAGCACACTGCAAACTTCATTCTTATCACTGCCTTGTTAACTATACGGTTATTTTTTTCTGTCTCATCTGAAAAAAAAAACAAATGCTGTAAGCCTTTTGAAGGCAGTGTTCATATCTTATTCATTATTATTATGCTACTAACACATATGTACTGAACTGAACAGTATGGTTAAAAATAGATGTTATTTCACATTTTATTGAACTTACAAAGACAGTTGTTTTGAAAATACTATTTACCAGTTACTAAAGTTGAAAGCTAAGCAGTGTTAGTAAAATAGTGAAAAATTGTTATGAATTGTAGGAAAGAATGTTCAATCTTTGCCAAAGCCATTCCAGGGTTTTAAGTAATGATTATCTTTCCACAATGCAATATGTAGCAAATAATTATAGCAGAGGTATTATAATACAAAAGGCTATGAAAACTAAGCTTTAACATTTGCATAAAGTGTTGAAGCTATATGTGCTTTTTCCTACCAAAGAGAAATACCGGTGCTAGTTCTAAAGACAAATAATTTGTATAATTATACAAGATTAATAATCTTAAAGACTAGTACCTATGAAATTGTATTGAACTTATAAAGATATTTAAAAAGCTATATTTTAAGATTTTTTTCTTTTTTGAGATAGAGTTTTGTTCTATCTTCCAGGCTGGAGTGCAGTGGCATGATCTTGCCTCACTGCAACCTTTGCCTCCTGAGTTCAAGCAATCTTCCTGCCTTACTCTCGAAAGTAGCTGGGATTACAAGCATGCACCACCATATCCAGCTAAGTTTTCTATTTTTAGTAGAGATGGGGTTTTGCTATATAAGTCAGCTTGGTCTTATACTCCTGACTTCAAGTGATCTGCCCACGTTGGCCTCCTCAAGTGCTGGGATTACAGGCATAAGCCACCACGCCTGGCCTATTTTAAGATTTTAAATGTAATTATCCATTTAATTTGTGACATAGAATATTAGAAAAAAAACGTATTCTTTTTCTTAAGCAGCCCGTTTGAAAGTTTCAAAAATAAAATTTTTAATGTCACATAATGTATATAATCTCTTAATAGCTTTCTTCCAACTATAACTATTGGTTAGACCCAACATGTGGATCTGAGTCAGCCTCAGTTCTTGGCCATTGTGATGAGAGAAGCAAGATACCTGCATTCTCAGTCATCACTGGCCATGAAGTATCTTGCCTGAAATAAAAATTGAAGGTTTCAACCCCGTACATTTCTATAGCTTGAGTATTATAATTACTCAGTGTTAACATTAATCTTCCCTACTACTGATGCACTGACCTGCTTAACATTTTTTTCTGAGTTTCCTAGCCTAGGACTCCTAAAATCTGATAGTTACTGCCTTTCTAATCTTCACTGTTATCCTGCTTAAGTTGATTTCCTGAAACCCTGTTTCAGCCTTCTCTTCCCTTGCAAACTCATAGACTCCATCTCACAACCCTCTATACACATGAAAGCTAGTCACACTGGGAGGAAATTGATGCAGACATGTTTCTGACTTTGGAAACTACCTATCATCTGGATCTTTCCTTAGAGTGGTGTCTTCTTGCATGGGCAGAACCCATTTGCTTATGTTAGAGTATGCCAACTCCTTTGCACTTCCATGCTCTGGCATATCGTGCTTGAGGGTTGCTTTTCCAAGAATCAGTCTGACTGTATTTAAACTATGCATAGCTCTTTACTCTTCAGCCTCCCCAGTCCCAGCTTTCTAAACCAATCCCACCTGCCATTGGTCCTGGGGTCCTATCTTACCCTGCTCATGAGGTTATGGTCTGACATTTATTATACAATATAACAGGGAGACTAGGGGAAGTTTATTAAGCAAACTTGAATTTTATGAACTATATTGATAATAGGAAAAGAGAGAACCAGTTCATTGAATCATCCACCAGGATATGGTTTGAACATCAGAGAGTTCCTTGACAGAATTATTATGCAAGTAGAAAAACATCAAAATATGATAGCTCATATAGTTAGGACTATTTACAGTGAGTGACCATATTATAAACTAAAACATTTTTATTGTATGGCATATGTCTTACCTTAACTTCCACATGTGCCATCAGTACTGCAAAATTTGTTAGGTGGTTACAAGAGCATGTAGTATGTGTCTTATTTGTTGTCAGGAGCCGACAGCCTTGTGTTGACCAATAACCTGTCATTGTGCGCTTGGAGTAGCTCCAAAATGAACAGTTAGGGTTGAAATTCTCCTCTGACTGCTATAGGGGGAAAAAAGTCCATAAAATCAATAACTATTTTATGATCATGTAAATTAGGTAGGCATTTTATTTACATATAACACAACTTCATATCCTGTTCCAATATTTTAGAGATGTCTACCAATGTTTCCATAAATGGGCCTCAACAATTTTAAGTAAAACTGGATATATGTTGTTGTTTGTTCCCTCAGACTAGAGGGGATTGCACTGTTTTAAATTAATACTAAAAGAATATACTAGCATCAATGTTTCAGAATCATACCAATTAATGCACATTGCAAAATAAAAAGGTTATTTGCTCTTAACAACCAACATCTGAAAAGATGATCTTTAGAGATCTTCGTTGAATTTACAACCTCAATCTTTGTAAATAAGCAAAAATATATCTTCACATGGGCATAATTGCTTGAAATATCATATATAGAACCATGTCTAGTTCTATTTAATGTACTATTATTCTACTTTAAAAACATAAACAGTATTGTGAATATTTAAGGTATAAAACATAATGTTATGAAATACATGTAGATAGAAAGGTTACTAAATCACACACATCATCTCGCATAGTTACCCATTGTTTTCCTGTTTTTGTGGCAAAAGCAGCTAAAAATCTACTCATTTCACATGAATCCCATATACAGTAGAATTTTATAATGTCTATGATTTTCAGGCTGTACTTTAGATCTCTACACTTGCATTAGTTCTTTTTAGTTATGGAGAATCATTTATAAATCCATCTATGAATGCTTTTACCATAGGTATTTATATATACAAGAATTATCCTCCCCACTCCAAATCTTAATTCTGGCCAAAAAAATTACCACTAAATTTTACAGATAATGAATTGCTATATGTCAAATAATATTAAAAATATTAAAAGAAAATTGATACACTTACTGTTCAGTGTTATAAAAATACAGATAATGTGAACAACCAAGTTAACATGCCATTTTCTTACCTTGATATGTTTAACAGTAAACACCACAGGATCAGCCAAATAAACCTTGTTACTGAACTCTTTGTTTATTGCTGCTGTAATAACAGGGGAATTGACAATAACAGAATGATTTGTGGACAAAGCTTCTGTTCCCAACTTCATACTGGCATTCTCCGTGGACAAATAAGGACCCAAGTTATCATACAGGACAAAGGCCACTCTGATCTCTCCTAAAATAAATGCAAATTCTGATTACTTTGTCCATTCTACTTAAATTAGTTAGTACTAATGAGATAAAAAACTAAATCCATATAATATGTATTCATACAAAAAAACAAGCAGTCATTTCAACCAAAGCACCAAGTCATTCATGAGGAGAGGAAAGTCAAATTGTGCTAAGACTACATAGTAGTATTTTTAAAAAATGAGCTTCAATCCCTATCTCACTCCATACTCAAAACTAAATTTAAGATATATCATACACCTAAACATAAAAACCAGAATCATAAGGCTTCTAGAACAAAATATAGAATAACATCCTTGAGCTTTTAGGAAGGCAAAGATGTCTTCAATAAGACCCCAAAACACTAACCGCAAAATAGTAAACTGAACTTTATCAAACCAAAAATTTGTCTATCAAAATACATCAAGAATGTAAATAAATAAATAGACTGAAATACATTTTAAAATAAGATTCATTAATATATAAAGGATTTCTACCAACCAACAATAAAATAATAGCACCTTAAAATGGCAAAGGACATGAATACACACTTTAAAAAAAAGTAAATGAAAGACACATTAAAAATGACTGACATCATTAGTAATTAGGGAATGAAAAATAAGACTAGAATGAGTTACCATTTCATACCCACAAGAATCCATAATATTGAAAAGACCGACCACACTAATGTTGATAAGGGTGTGACAGAAATGGAACTCTTGCACACTTCTGGTGGTAGTAAAAAATACCTAAACCATTCAGAAAAATGTTTGACAATTTCTTATAAAACTAAACATACATCTACCCTTCCTAGATAAGTGAAAACATATATCCACCACACTATATGTGGACATATATCTTTATTCTTAATAGCCCCAAACTGGAAACAATTATTATTTATAGTAGAATAAATAAATTATGGCATACTATATAATAGAATATACAATGCTTCAATAAATAACAAACTACTGATACATGGAACAACATGAGTGAGTCTTAAAAATATTTTGCCTGGTTAATTCAGACAGGAAATGATATATACTGTATGATACAAGTCATATGAGGTCTAAAAATTGGCAACTTTTGTGTACACAAATGGTAATGAGAAGAGGTTTTATTAGGTGAGGAGAGGGGTAAGAAGACTGTAAGAGACACTAGAAAATTTTCTGAGTACAGAAGAGATTTTTTTTTCTTTCGTTGGGTGATATTATAGATGTACAACTGTCAAATTCCCAAGCTAAATGCTTCCTCAAGCTAAATGTATATTTTAGTGTATGTAAATTATATCTCAATTAGAATTTTAAGGAAAACACACAAGAATTCACAATCTTTACCTGTCTTAAAACTCAGCTGTCATGTTATTTTAATGTCACTGTTTCCACAAAGTCACCAAGTCCTTCTACCTTATTTTTTTCATTTATGACAATCTCTTCAATGTAATTCCCTATGAAGTGAACTGTCCTTTGACAAGCTTTTTAAAAATTGTATCATTTTCCTTATTTTACAAAGTCAAGTCCTATATCTTATTTCTGGCCCCAACTACTATGGTTACTAAGATGAGGACGTCACAGTCCCTATCTCTGAATCTTAGAATCAAGTGGAGAAAAATTGAGTTATGTGGGAAGATAGAAAAAAAAATATTTTTTTGAAGAGGAGGAGGGCTAATCAACATCTAACCGCCATGTTTGGGAAATTCCCTAATCTTCAGAATGTATAAACAAAATGGACATATACTTGCTTTCCTAGCTTATTGAGAAGAAATTGCTCTGGGCATCTCAGCTAGATGCATCTAATCAGATGCAGTAGCCTCAGATATCAGATGAGGAGCTAGTGATATAGGAAGCAGGTAGTGGTACAGCAATGGCAGCAGCATCAGTGGCACAGTTACTGCAACAGAGTTCACTTGTGGCAGCTGTGACATTTCACAGCAATGATTCTGTGATGTGGTAGAGGCTGCTGTCAGCCTCCTTGCTCTAGTACATCTTCTGGGCCTGATTCTCCAGCCTTCTCAGTGATTGTATGAGATATCCATTATCACTTCAGTAATCCAGCAAAGAAATTATGATGAGAGTTACATAATGGAAGAGAGCATTTTCTTATCTAATCTGCAAGTGTTAATACAGTACTGAGCAGATCATAGTTATTCACTAAATACTTATCTGTTACAACATATAATTTAATTATTTTCTTTTCCTCTAGATTTGGCATTAAAATGCTGATTTTTGAAAGGTTAAAATTAAGAATATCCACATATTTTTCTCGCTGACATTAAAAACTTTAATTTTAATTGGTTTATAATTGGCTGATGGTTCATGCCAATTTCTACTTCTGGGATGGTGCCATTTTGCCAGCCCACCGTAAGTCACCGGCACACTTAGTCACTGGCAATTCTTTCATATTCTCTGCTCCAAAATTAATGCTTAAATGTGACTTAAACAAAAACAAAAACAGGCTGGGTGTGATGGTTCAAGCCCAAAATCTCAGCACTATGGGAGGCCAAGGTGGGAAGATTCCTTGAGGCCATGAGTTCAAGACCAACCTGGGAAACATAGAGAGACCCTCTTCTCTATTAAAACAAAATAAAACAAAACAAAACACACACAAAAAAAACCCATGGTGATACATTAATTTAGTGAGCAATAAAATAAATGAGCACACTTAATTTTACTAATATATTTGTACATGTCTACTTCCTGGAGGGAGAACCAGGCAGGAAGTAGGCAGATTAAAAAATAATATGAACGTTATTTCCTAAACTGGTAAGTGAATAAAGGTTATGAAGAAACATTGTCATAATTATAGCTAATGGGAAAAGGGTGGGAAAGAGGGGTCTACCTTAGAGGAGATAGGGAAGACTCTCCCTATAGAGAGAGATGTATTCTAAAAAGTGAATGATAGAGAGGCTGCCATGAAAAAAAAAAAAAAAAAAAGGAGGCAGGAAGGAAGTGGATCAGGTAGCACGTGGGTGGAAGGCCTAGTGAGGTCATGAGATTTCATTCTAAGAGTAAATGGAGGTAAACTCGTCAGATTTATGATTTAGGAAGAACCCTTTGTCAACAGGATATACTGTTGGAGGGCAAAAGAGTGGAAGCAGGGACATGATTTAGGAAGCTAATGTAGGAATCTAATTTTGCTCTATTGAATCTTACTGCTGTCTCAAAAAATTTATTAGTTAAATGAGTAACATAAAAATGATTTCCAAGTTTAGTCTTAGAGTATTTTGAACATTTACAGACTATTTTATTCTGATGGCAACAAATGTAAGTTGTTTTTCTTGATATTATTTACTGGATCTTCTTTTCTCAAAACTATTCACCCTGTAATATGAAATATTAGCATTGAGTTGGTTGCTAGGAACTGAATTCATCTTCCTATAACCTGACAGGCTAAACAATCTCCCTTTCTTGGCAAAAAAGGAATATCTGTGTGTGTGGATGTGTGTGTATGTATGCATATGTATATATGCACAAATATGGGAAAGAAGAGCCTACTTTAGAGGAGATGTGTACATACAGATATATATATACACACACATTCATATACACCCACATATATGTGTGTAAATTTAAACACAGTTTTTAATATTAGTGAGTTTTGGGACATACTTTATAAGATTATTTATTGAATTTTAATTATTTTCAGTGTATTCAATTTAGTATTAAGCTAAGCTAATTATATTTATATTTCCATTTCCCAAAATCATCTCCTTGCATTTAAATGTTTGCATGCTTTGCAAAAAAAAAAAAAAAAAAGCATAAAAACAATCTCAAAAAGCCAAATAACTAAAAACATGTAATTTTGAAATTACAACTAAAATTTACATTAAAAAATTTACAATTAAAATCTGCAAATTTAGTGAGAGTTCTTCTTTTTGGGGAAAAATGTCAGATCCTCTGAATTTTGGTGTCCATAATTTCCCTCATATTTAAGTTTCTGGCTACTGAAAAGAAATAGAACAATTTCCAAATCTGCAAATCTGACTGAGAATTTAGAATAAATATTACTGTAATATTGGTGGTGCTGTACATTAGGACGAGGAAGAAGTGAAGGAGAAAGAGAATAGGTAGGAAGAAGAAGGGGGTAAAGCTTCTAAACAGAGGACTTAATATTCCAAGCCAAAAAGCAATGAGTTGATGAAAGTTTAATTTCCTCAAGCTTAAAAAATAAACTCTGACCTACCATTTCGACCATTTTGCTTTAAAGTGTTTGCAGACAGCTGGATAGTGCTTCCATGGCCCATGTTTTCTGGAAATTTTAGGTCTTCTAAGTTTCCTTCTGTGCTCAGCCTTGCAACTTCCAATTCTGTTAATATCAGAGAGATACCAGTGCTCATAGAGAAACATACCTAAGCTACAATCATTTCCTAAATCATTGCAGTATTTCTGAAATCAAAACACTGGAATTCTTGTTCTATTTGTCATGTTTTATGACAATCTTTAAGAAAATATATTGTTAGCATTTTGCCAAAATAATGCAAATTAAAGCTATTAAAATTATTTAAATACAAATATATCAATAAAGCCTAAAATTTAAAATGCAATCCCAAATTCTTTTTTTTATTGTATTGCATTTGTGTTAAGTTGTAAAATATAACCTTTATTTTCTAAATTAAGTAAAAATTCTTTTATAATCTAGAGCTGTACTATCATACCAATATTGAACTATCTTTAAGCCCAATAAATTTGAAACAGCTTCATCATAACTTCTGAAATAAAACTGTTAGCTACTCCTAATCCACAGTAAAAACAGATTTATACCCTTTATAAGCTAAATAACACAATTATCAAACACTGTCTTATCATCTTCCCTCAAATGACTTATTTCTTTATAAAGTGTAATTCAAAGATACTCTCATTATAACTGAAATAACCCCTAATGGTCCTGTATAAAGAGGATGAAATTTTAAATAGTATAATATATACATAAAAATCCTTTATAAAAACAAACCTCACCGTAAGTGATCTCAGGCTAATATGTTCAATGTTGAACCCAATATGAAATACCCTAAGAAGGATAGCACACATGATTTTCAATCCTTTTAAGCCAATGACAGGTGATACCCTCCTTATTTTAGAAAAAGAATGACTTATCTCCATTTAAATAAAGCATTACTCCTATCTGGGACACCAGGGATACTTTTTTCTTTTCCCTCTTCTGATATACAAGAGTGTCTGGACCTTCTGAATAACAAAGGCCACTTACTAATATTGTCTGTGTTCTCCCTGACAATGTCAGTCTTCAAAAGGTTATCAGCCAGCACAAAAGCACTTTCCTCCACCGTATGAAGCAACATGGTGGCCGCACGCAGCTGATCGCTCGTAGTCAGGTCTCTCCACGCATTCAAAGCTTGTGGCTGAAGGAGGTTGTTAACTGTCTCGACCATTGCCTATAAGAGGATGAAAAGAATGACAGAGGTCTCTAGTGAACCCACATAGCTGTCAGAATTCCAGGTGTACATGTTGCCCAGCAAGCTAGGATCAGCAGTGTGCATGAGTTCAGTATTGTCCCAGCCTCCCCTGTGACATGCTGCAGCAGAAGCATTCATTATTTTGTTCTGCAAAACCCTAGCTGAGACTTTGCAAAGCAAGAGGAAAACCTGTTTCTGTTTTGAAGGACAACAAATAAAGCCATACTTATTTCTTGAAATGAATAGCACAAGCTTCCATAAGATTATGATCACATAATTAAATTATTTGGCTGGGGAACTGTTGACAACATTTTAAACCAAGAGTTTTACCACGTGACTCAGAGAAAATAATTTTTTTCTGTACGTTACCATAAAACTGGATGCTGAACACAACAGAGATTAAAAGGATGACCATAGGTAGGACAATCCAAGAATTTGTTGCCTATAGGTTGATGACTCACATAGCAAACCTATTTGTTTTTTAGCCTGCTAGTAAAATGTCAGAATGGGGAAAATATCAAAGCATACATACTCCCAGGGGCTTTGGATATGTTATGTATAAAGAGAAACCTTCTTCATGCTGTTTACTATCAGGGGGAGGAATACACAGTTGAACCTTACTACCTATGGTCCTTAGGTGTTTTATCTTTTAAAAAATCAGCAGTAGATACACCCACACATAGAGACAAAGCACTACAATTCTCATTGCTTTGTCCAAAAGAATCATCTCTGTAGTTACCATTTATATATTTCCTGTGGTTTTCTTTATGCTGTAGGTTACAAAGAAAAACAGTTCTCCCAATAAGGTCTTGGGTTTCATTCAAACATAGAGAAGTGGAAAATAGAAAAGTACAATACCTGCAGCTTCAAAGTGATCATCCCTGAACCCATTCATCATGAAATATGCATCTAATCCAGAAATAAAGTTGAATAAACAGCCAACACAGGCACAGTTTCTAGGCAGCATGTAAGTGTTCTAAAACGGGTCTCACATTATTGACACATTGGCAGAAGGGCTGGGAAAGACTAGAGAAATACCCTTTACACTGCAGGGTTTTCTTCTGGCTGGTGTTTTCATAGCAACCAAGTAACAACTGTTAAAAATTCAGCTTCATAATGAAACACCTTGGCTGCCAATTAACACCAGCTTTAAAAACTAATTTGCCTTTTGATAAAAGTTGTTTTTCTTGATATTTTCCCAGCCATTCCAAGTTTTGGTCAAAAATCTACATCACTATACTTTTAAGTAAAATAATCCTACTCACAACTTGCATGGTTTGCATGATTTTCTAAAAGAAAACAACACAAATCAAAAAAGTCTCTCACGAGTTTAAACACTGGGCATGTTCATATAGTGTGCTTAGCTCCATCATTTGTTCTTGGTGTAAAGCATGACCTAGTAGCCAGACAAAAGTATTTCTGGATCACAACAAAATGATCTGCTTTCCAGGAAGTTCTCTACAAGGGCAATGCCAACAGGATATACAAAAAAAAGAGGTGCCAGATAGGAAACCAAAAGAAAAAGAAAACTTTAGATAATTTCTGAGGCCAAACAGAGAACATAGACCTCTTCAGTGTAAAGACCTATTCTTTCAGGGATTAGGTGATCTTGTGAATTCATTAGAAATGCTCTGAAAATCCCAAGTGCAACAGAAATTACGCCTGTTCTTTATGGAGCAGACATTTTAGCCGCTGATAATCTTAATAATTAGTTAATAATCTTATAATAATTAAAATCTTACCTCAGGGAAAATTTTATTGGGGATAATATTTTTATGTTCTGTCCTTAGTTACTTTTATTTTCATAATTTAAAAAATGCGAGACGAGAAAAAAGGGAAAAGAAACAACTATGGTCAACTTCGAGAATGTTCTAAGTAAGAATGTGTTCCAAGACTAAATCAGGAAAAAACAGGAAGTCTGAGTAGACTTATAACTAATACGGAGATTGAATCAATCATCAAAGTCTCCCAACAAAGAAAAGCTCAGGACCACATGACTTCACTGGTGAATTCTACCAATTTTTTTACATTTAAAGAAGAATTAACACCACTCCTTCTCAAACTCCAAAAAATAGAAGAGGAGAGAACGCTTCCAAACACCTTTTTATGAGGTTAGCATTACTTTGACGTTAAAGCCAGACTAAGTCACCACGAGAAAACTGCAGGCCATATCCCTGATGAATACAGATGCAAAAACTCTCAACAAAATGCTAGCAAACTAAATCCAACAGCACGTAAGAAAAAATATATAAACCATGATCAAGTGCAATTTATCCCTAGAGGCAGGGATAGTTCAACATATAAAAATCAATGACTGTGATACGCCATATTAACAGAATAAAAGATATCATGATTGTCTTAATAGATGCAGAAAAAGCATTTGACAAAATTCAGCACCTTTCACGATAAAAACTCAACAAACTAGGAACAGAAGGAAATTACCTCAACATGATGAAAGCCATGTATAAAAGCCCTTAGATAACATCATATTCATCAATGAAAACCTGAAAGCTTTTCCTCTAAGATCAAAAACAAGGCAAAGATGCCCACTCTTACCACTAATCAACATAGTACTTGAAGTCCTTAGCCAGAGTAATTAGGTAATAATAATAATGGGCATCCAAATTCAAATGAAAAAGTAAAATTCTCCCTGTATACAGTGACATGATCTTATATACAGAAAATCTGAAAGACTCCATTAAATATATATATATACATATATATATATATGACTGTATATATGTATGTGTATATATAAAAGACTCTGTGTGTGTGTGTGTGTGTGTGTGTGTGTGTGTGTGTGTGTATGAACTAATGAACAAATTCTGGAACCTGTTTACAACAGACTGCTTTATCTAAAAAACTTTGTATGTCTGAATTGACAGCAAATAAATCAAAGGCATCAATTTATCAATTTATTTTAGTTTTGCAACTGAAAAGGTACAAGGTACAATATATTTTCACAGTTGTAAGTTTTCAACAAGTGTATTCTTCAAAATAAGTCAGTCTTTAGGGAAGCTTTCTACTAAAGCCCAAAACAATTGCCAAATTTACTAAAAAGCAACACACTCAAAATGTGGCCCCAAAACCTAGGAGTTGGTGGGTTATGACACCAATCTAACAGTTATTTAGTCTGCTCAACAACACACCTGTTCACAATTGCTTAAGTATAACTGTAAGGAAATGTTAATACAAGGATCGAGAGGCAGTATTCTGTAGTTCTAAAACCAGAGTGTGGGATTTGGGACCACATCCGCTGAATTGTATCTGCATAGTGCCTTTGAATGTGTGATACTGAGCAAGTTACTTAACTTCTCTAAACTCTATCTACAAACTTGGTATGATAATATAATCATCTCAGAAAGTTGTCTAGCTCATAACAAGTGCTCAAGATGTAACCTTATGTTTACTTTCACTTGATATTACAGCCCAGTGCAGGAAGAAGAGAAGTTTTCACTTAGTAAGCACAGTTCATATCTGATAATTGCTAAATAGCCACACTGAATTGAGATCTGGAAGGAGTAAGTTTTCAGTAATGCAATCTTCATAATTTGATATCTTACACAAATACAGAAGACTATACAACCTGAAGCTTTGAGGAATTGGAGAGTAAAGGCAACATGTGTATTAAATAGATCCTAATGAGGTTTTTAGAGACTTGAATAAACTGACCCCTTTTCTGCTAGTGAGACAGCACAATTAAGTCCATCTTAGAAGTTTTATAATTATAAATTATTTAAGCTTTCTAAAGCTTGCTGACATGTCCCTTTACCAGCTAAATGAAGGTCAATTCAGTAACTACAACTCCTCAATGAATACCTATATTTGGATTTCCTTATACATTTATGTATTGTATATTTTATTCACACACTATGACATCTGGTCACAAAATAATTTTTTTCTCAAACTACTTATTTGCATTATTTTCATAAGCTCAACATAAGACTCATTATATTTCAATTTGAGAATAGGTAGCAGCGGGTGTTATCCTTTTCATTATACAGTATACTGACTAAACTCTCAGTGACTTTGATCTGTTCCTAAAAGTCAAATATAAATGGGAAAGAGCCAAAAGTTATTTGATTCACACCAGAATTATAAACATATCATATCCTACTAGATATATGTTTGTATTACGCAACATTATTGGGACCCTTATCATTTAATTCAGACCTTAGGCAAACTCAGTTGATGAGTACTACTCATAGCATATAATTTCAATCTATTCATTAAGGATGTTATATACTTTATAATTATATTTTCTATATTTCAAAATACAGAGTTTACTTATTTGTTATAACTGCTGCAAAAACCTTTGGGAAAAACTGCTACATATCTTTGCAATGACAACTTTTGTCACTATTCCAAGAGGATACATTTGTGAAATAGCCTAAGATTTCTCAGCAAGAATACACAAAAGAATCAATGGTGAGAAACACATGAGTGGCACTTATTACCTAGGTGAGCAGTAGATCTCAAACTATGAAGGTAAGCAGAATCATCTGGGGAACTTAGTTACCCATCTTCCTCCATTTGAAAACCATAAAAATAAATATTCCAATAGAAGGAATGCCTTATGAAAAGATGTATAACTTTATCACCATGGCATTTTTTTTTTTCTTTTAGAGCCAAGTTTTTAAATCACAAGCTCATTCAGGTTTTAGCTCACGTATCATCTGTTCCACAAGGTCTTCCATTATTAGCAAAACTAGGGGGGAATTCCCCCATTCTTTATTACCTGTTTTGTTTTCTTTGTATCATATGTCATTATGGAAAGATGTCTCATATATTTGTTTACCTGCACAACTATCTGAAACCTCCCATTGGACAAAACGCAAGATTCATGAAGGAGGAGATGCTGTCTCATTTACAAGAGCCAAAAGCAGTGTTTCCTAACTCTTGGCTGAGAAATTTGCCATGCAGGATAATTCATACATAGGTCAGTTTTCTCCATTTTCATATCAGCAAAATTTAAAATC